TATTAGGTACAAAGAAGAAAACCAGCCTCTGCTGGGTCCAAGGACACGTGGGAGTAGAAGGCAACCAGATAGCGGACAACCTTGAACGAAAAGGGGCTGCTATATTGCTGATATGACCCTAACTTTTCTGTGGCATAGGATCCCACACTATCGATGAGTACCTCAGACAGAAGGATAAAAAGAAAATCAGGGAACAATGTGTGGTGACTGGGCTACCGCCAACGTACGTGGAGCAGCGTAACAAGGTCTAGCAGTATTTTAGGGGTATTCACGATCTTTGTGTTAACCCTGTTTACTCTGTTAGGTCGTGTTATATCGAGAAAAATAAAGACGTAGACTGGTAAGAATCGGCTAGTTAACATTGCTCAATCTAACAGGCAAGGGCCATGTTAGGTTGAAAATGAAGTCACATGGCTATCCGTTCGGGCGAACGTAACCAAGATGGCAGCCATCACTTTAACAGCTGTTTTTTGTTTACACGTATTTTTCATTTTTAAATAGGCATTAATTAATCAGACCAATACATTTCTTTTGGTATTATCTGACCTGTCCTTATACTCTCATTCATAATAGATATATCCCCTATCCAATAAAGTTGTAGGCTGTTAGACGTTAGAATACAGGTAATTTATTTAGAAATCGTGAGATGCGGTCTGGTGTGATGTAGGTTTCAGAAAAATATTTTCTTTATCGTGCCAACTTTACGATCTTTATTGAGATCATCTTCAGGGCCTCGGATTTACAAACATTGTTTAAATTTAACAAATCCATGTAGGATGTGGAAAAAAGTGAATTTATACAGTGCAAAATATATTTTATATATTCAATCAAAGTATTTCTACTCACTCAAATTGTTTGTTTTCTGTGTAATTGTGCCATTCTTGCGTGTCGTGTCGAGGGTGCCAGTGAGATTTTGCTATTTTGTGTTTATATAAGTTGGATTTTGAAGGGGTGGGAAAGGATGTCGGTATAGAAAAGACATTTTTGTATAAGGCGTCGGCTTCTTTGAGGTGAAAAGAGTCGACGAAGGGAAAAAATGTGTTGGTAATGGTTCGGCCAGATTATCCTTTCAGGATTATATAGAAAGGGATAAATAGGAAAAGGAAAGCTGAATTGTTGGGAAATTAGAGTATGTGAAAAATATTTGTTGTGTGGAATGTAGTGTGACGATATAGGTATGTTATCTGTATTGAATGTGATTAATGATATTGGCGTGGCTGCGACTGAGTTTACATGTATCTGTTCTGTAATTGATGCTGTGTTTATCTCGGTTGATATAGTTTCTAAGAAATTACGTTTATGTTTGTTTTGTTCTGTATGTAATATTTTTGGATTTTTGAAGTCGAAATTGTGTTTGTGTTCAAGATGGTGGGTAGCGAGTGCTGTAGGATTTTGCTTAGGTTTTTTGCAATCGTAGATGTGTTGCTTTACTTTCTAGTCCAGATATTGGGATGTAAGACCGATGTAAGTTGCCGGACAGTTTAAACCGTTGATTTTGTAGATTTCGTCAGATTTATTTGTTATTGGTGTGGGATCTTTAATTTTGGAACAAAGTGTTTGAATTGTTTTATAATTTTTGAAAAGTTTTTGAAGTTATCGGACGAGAGAAATTTGTTTAATTTATATGATAGGCCTTGAATAAATGGCATGGAAATGTATGCTGGTTTGTTTTTATTCGATAGACTTAATGTAGTATTATTAGTAATAGTGGATGGTGTTAGAGTTGAGTTGTATTTGTTGATTATTCTGTTAATTATGTGTTTAGGGTAGAAATTGCTATGGAGGATCTGTTTGTATATCGTTATGTTCTTGTGGTGAAATGATTCATGGTTTATGGTAATCATTCTGAGAAGTAACCCTTTGGCCGTGCTTATTATTGTATGAAGAGGATGGTGAGATGTAAAGTTGAGGTAGCGATCTGTGTTTCTTGATCTTTGATTAATGTGCCATCGTGTTGTATTATTACGAGTGTATCTAAAAATGGTATTTTTTTGTTGTTTTCGATTTCATGTGTAAATTGTAAGCGTGGGTGAAAACTATTAAATGTATGTAATATAGTTTGAATTTGATCTCTGGGAACTGCTGTCAATATATCATCTACGTATTTAGTGAGGAAGGGTAATGTTAAAGGAAGTTGTGGTATGACTGTGTTTAATAGATGTGTCATAATTATGTCTGCCTGTATCGGGCCTAGGTTCCATGGCTATACAAAATAGTTGTTTGTAAAATTGATTGTCGTATGTAAAATATCCGTTAGCACAGCAGTGTCGGATCATTGTTACAAACGTGTTCTTCGATAGAGTTTTGTGTGGCGTTATGTTGGGCCATCTTTAATAATGTTCAGTGTTGTGTCCTTTTTTCCACATCCTAAATGTATTTGTTAAACAATGTTTGTAAATCCCAGTCCCTGAAGATGATCTCAATAAAGATCGAAACGTTGGCACGATAAAACAAATGTTTTTCTGAAACCTACATCACACCAGACCGCATCTCACGATTTCTGAATAATCAGGGAACAATGGAACACACTCATTGGACACAATCCAAGAACCTCTTAACAAATTTCGGAAGAAAAGCAGTAATAGAAAGTATCAAAGGAAGCAGGCGAATCCTAACAGTATCCTTAACAGGATAGTGCAAACTAAACGGATATTTAAAGAAGAATGGTACAACCCAAGATGTGCAGATTCTTCAAAGAAGCAGAGGAGACACCAACACACCTATTAACAAATTTTGGTGCCACACTTGCTCGTAGGATGATATTCTTTGGGACGTACAAAGTGACTGTAGAAGGAATTCAACCACTGAAAGCAGTGTGCTATAGGCACAGAACGGAATATCAATATCTCTTAAAGGGCGCAGTGTATTTCACATCACGACTAATCATCTACAGTATGGTGGAGTTCAAACAATTAGTGTCACGAGCGGGAATCGAACCCGTGGATTATTCACAAGAAGTGGCTTATACGAGACCGATATTTTGAAGTGTAGAATCACCAAAAAAATGTTTAACCCGACTCCGTGACCCATCAACTTGGTCCTTCCCCTTGTTAGATAAGAAAGATAAACAATAATGTGTGGAGACAGACCCAGTAATCCCTATCCTGGTTCAACGTAAGTTTACCTACTCGCAGATCAATCCATCATCAACATTACAAAAATTGTGTGTCTGATAATTTGTTGAATCGTGAGGAGCGGTCAAGAATTAGGTAGTTTAGAAAAAACACTTTTTTCATATTTTTGCCGACGTTTCGTTCTTTATTCAGGTCATCTTCGGAGCATAAAATGTGGTACTACTTTTGTGGTGTCATATTGGTTTTGTGTGATTGGTTTTTGCGCAACCAACCAATATGACACCAAAAAAGTAGTACCACATTTTATGCCCTGAAGATGACCCGAATAAAGGTCGAAACGTAGGGGAAAAAATTAAAAAGTGTTCAGGTGCGGTGCGAACATCTGAATTGGGCTCAGTGGTTACGGGGCAGTTCTGGGATTTGCTCCCTCTGTAACCCAGATACAATCGAAAATATTACTGATTTGCTAGATGAATGTTCAATCCAGGATGAAAACCGTCGACTCCTTTTGGGCTGTTTCTGATCGCTTAGTAATACTTCGGTTAATTACTTAAATGGTGCAAACAACTGAAAAGAACTGATCCAATATGGCCGGCACGCCTGGAATTACAGATATGAATTAGTTTAAAAATTTAATTTATAACATAATGCTTTTTGTTTTCTGCATAGATTTCATTTCTTAAATAAGGATTAATGAATTACTATAATTTTCTAATTTTTCCTGTTAATTTCATTTATTATTATGTAAGTCATTTTCCATATTTTGCTTATCTGTATCGTTACTTGTTTTTTTCAAAACCAATGTTGATTTTGTATCTTCTTTTTGCTAATTTGTTTAAGCAGTCAAGAATGAGATACTTTTGAATAACTTTTATTTCATTTATTTGCCGATGTTTCGACCTTTACTCAGGTCATCTTCAGGGCGTAAAGTGTCGTGCTATTATTGTGGTGTCATATTGGTTCTGTGTGAAAGTATATAAAGCACACAACACTTTCACCCAAACCATCTGACACCACAATACTAGCACTATACGCCCTGAAGATGACCAGAATAAAGGTCGAAACGTCGGAAAAGAAATTAAATAGGTGTTTTTCATGAATAGATATTAATCAAATCCGCTTAACCTTTGTCGGTCAATAAATAATACATACACACATTTCCTTCCGATCCTCTTCAAATTATTTACAAACTGTAAATATGTTGTGTAAACATAATTAAAAATTTAAAAGTTTCATCTTTGCTCCCAAGATCAATTGGGAAGAACTTACTTAATATTTTTCTATTTTGTACCACGAAAAAAAGTCATGTTGAACCGGCCCAGAATCACTTTCGGGGTCCATCTTCTCTCTCTTTTTAAGTTATTTAATTGAATTTATATCAACCCATCATAAGCATTATAAAAAGTGTGTGTTTATTAGTGACGTGTCCATAATTTGTTGAAGTCGTGATTATTATTATTTTTATTAATTTTATGGATTCGTAAGGAGCGGTCAAGAATGAGGTAGTGCAAAAAAACACCTTTTTCATTTTTTTGCCCTCGTTTCTACTTTTATTCGGGTCATCTTCAGTGCATAAAGTGTGGTGCTATTCTTATTGTATCATATTGGGTTTGTCTTCACAACACTTTCACACTAAATATGACACCACAAGAATAACACCACGCCTTATGCCCGAAGATGACCCGAATAAAAGTCGAAACGTGAGCAAAAAAATGAAAAACGGTTTTTTGCTAAACTACCTCATTCTTAACCGCTCCTAATGAATCCTACAAACTAATAATAATAATTTTTACCCTAATAAAAAATGTTTGGTTTATCCACTCGAAAAATTTTCTTCTCTCTAGTAAAAGCTGTTTTTTCTTGTTCCACCAATAAAAGTAGTACGTTATTTGATGAGACTTTATGAGGCCCTGTTTGTCGTTTCAGCTTGTCAACAGGTTGGTGAGGGGGTGCAGGCGGTGTTCGGCCCTTCGCACCCCGTCCTCGGAGCGCACGTACACAGCATCTGCGACGCCCTCGACCTCCCGCACATCGAAGCCAGGGTCGACTTGGAACCGGCGACACGAGAGCTGTCAATCAACCTGCACCCAGCACAGTCCTTGCTCAACGCCGCCTATCAGGACGTGATGGCTTACCTCAACTGGACCAGAGTCGCCATCCTCTACGAAGAAGACTATGGTAAGTGTTAATTGACACAATTAAAAAAAAAACGGTTCACAAGTAAGAATCTAAAAATTAGAAAAACATCAGGACCAAATTTAGCTAATGGGGTAACATTAAGAAGATAAAATATGCAACATATAATTTTAAAAAATATTCCCTTAAACTCTGCCTATGTCTAATTCCATCCAAATTAGATTACGGGTGCAATGCAAACAACTCAGCTAGTACAAACATCCTAAGCATAATAGACTCGATGCAGGGCACAGGTTTACGCCTAGCTTTGGGAGCATTCAGATCTAGCTCCTTCATGTTGATGCAGGAAAAATTCCTCTTGATTATCGTAGAAAATGCTGGTTTTGAAAGTATGTGTTAAGATATTTTATATTCCTTCACATCTTTTAAACAGTTTATTTACAATCCATAGATGATGATTTAGAATGTAGAAAGAAGCACATTGCCGCCAGAATACCCACTCGACTGCATTCCATAAATGTAGAGATCCCACCACTGTGCAAAATGAGGACCAAAGCCACCTTGGATGCTACCAGTGCTTAAGATTAAAGCGGGGAACAGACCCGATGCAACGCTATGCGACGCTACCCGTTGCTACCCGACGCCTTGCCACGTTTTGGTAATGGTGTGCACATCTGTGCGTCAAGCGGACGCCATGTACAGTCACACAGCGTGTATCACAATGATCACACGCCTCTTTTGTTCTTGATTCACTAATTTGAGCAAAGCCATGTAATACATTGTTACTTAAATTTAATTGCTTTAAATAAAGGTATTCCGGTGTTTCGATAAATTTTCTGCCTAATCATCATAATTAAATAATTCTTATAAAACCTCATGAATTTTTTATCTCGTTGGATTTCGTTTACATTAAAATAAGCATGTTGTAATTTATAAAACGACAAAATTACATATACATAGTTCGAAAAAAACTCCAAAAAATATGAGTTCCGGTTCTGACCCTATTCGACGAAAATAGTGTAATTTTATGAGGAAATCCACGAAATAAATAGTTAGTTAAATTTTATGGGCAAAACCGTGTAATAAATTGTTAGTTAAATTCAATATATGAAAAAATGGTATTCTGGTGTTTTTGATCAATTTTCTACCAAAACATTAAAATTAATTTTTTTAAATAAAAACTCATAAATTTTAGATCTCGTTTAAATTGGTTTACATTAAAATAAGCATGTTGTTATTAATATAACGACAAAATTACATATACGTAGTTTGAAATAAACTGCAAAAAATATGAGTGTCCTATTCTGGCGCTACTCGACCCGTGTAATTTTATGAGCAAAACCATGAAATAAATTGTTAGTTAAATTTTATGAGCAAAACCATGAAATAAATTGTTAGTTAAATTTTATGAGCAAAACCATGAAATAAATTGTTAGTTAAATCTTATGAGCAAAACCGTGTAATAAATTGTTAGTTAAATTCATTATATGAAAAATGGTACTCCGGTGTTTTGAGCAATTTTCTACCGAAATATTAAAATTATTTTGTTTTAATAAAAACTAATCAATTTTTTATCTCGGTTAATTTGGTTTATATTAAAATAAGTATGTTGTAGTTAATATAACGGCAATAATACATATAGTTTGAAATAAAAATATGAGTGTCCTGTTCTTTTGTCATCGACTGTACTCGATTCTACTCCACGAAAATCTCGAAAGTGGGGATCGCGAAGGGTAGAGTAGGGTAGCGTTGCCTGGCATCGGGCAGATGTGCACGGGGGTAATACAATCTTATGGAAAATTGGACTTTGGATTTGCGTCGGGTAGCGTAGCGAGCAACGCCTCTTTTGTTCTTGTTTCACTATTTTAAGCAAAACCATGTAATACATTGTTACTTAAATTTAATTGTTTTAAATAAAGTTATTCCGGTGTTTCGATAAATTTTCTGCTTAACCATCATAATTTAATATATAAATAACCATCGTAAATAATTCTTATAAAAACCCATGAATTTTTTATCTCGTTGGATTTGGTTTACATTAAAATAAGCATGTTGTAATTTATATCACGACAAAATTACATATACATAGTTCGAAAAAAACTCCAAAAAATATGAGTGTCCTATTCTGACGCTATTCGACAAAAATGGTGTAATTTTATGAGCAAAACCATGAAATAAATTGTTAGTTAAATTGTATGAGCAATCCATGAAGTAAATTGTAAATATAATTTTACGAGCGAATCTATTAAATAAATAGTTAGTTAAATTTTATGAGCAAAATCGTGTTATAAAGTCTAGTTAAATTTTATGAGCAAATCCATGTAATAAGTTAGTTCAATTCATTCTATCAATAAATGATATTCCTATGTTTTGATCAATTTTCTGCCAAATCATTCAAATTAATTTTTTTAAATAAAGACGAATGAATTTTGATCTCCCTTAATTTGGTTTATATTAAAATAAGTATGTTGCAATTAATATAACGACAATTAAACATATAGTTTGAAATAAAAATATGAGGGTCCTGTTCCTTTATCTTTGACTGTACTCGATGCTACTCTACGAAAATCTCGAAAGTGGGGATCGCATAGCGTAGAGTAGGGTAGCGTTGCGTGGCATCGGGAAGATGTGCATGAGGTTAATACAATCTTATGGAAAACAATGTTAATTAACATTTAACAAACCAAGTTTAATATATAATATTTTAACTTGCACTTAAAACCATCTAGTGAAAATATTGTATTAATTATACATATATACAGGGGGTCGACCCTGGTTTACTCAAATTGACTGAAAGCAGAGTTGTCGAACGGCAAATTTGGTATATATTTTATTTATATATAATAATATATATATTTTCATTTCAGAAATATGAATGAGAAATCTAGCCATAAAAGTGACATGCCACACGTAAATAATCCTTATGTCGGTTGATGCCTTTATATTTAAAAAAAAAATCTTTACATCTGAACTGAAAAAAGGGTTTTAGTCGTGCAGATGATCATAGATGACCAGATTACAGGTCAATCCGTTTCTAAGTAAGCAGAGATAATTTTTTTAACTCTTGACAATAATCATAAGGGAACTGAACGTTAAATTTATTTTTATGCGAAAATCAAACACTACACCGTACTCAATCAATATATAAATTCACTAATACGAATTGTTTCCTGTTTCTCTCTGGACTCGTTAAGCAATGCGGGGTAGCAAAGTTGTCCAACTAACCGGACCTCGTAATTTGCGGCCAGGACGGATGCATGTTCAAATAACATGGTTAATGCCGGTCACGTTCAATTGGGTTCATATGGGGAAAACAGGGAGTCGACAACTTATAAATCTGAACGTTATCATCTCCCTGGAATAACAGATTGTTCTTTTTCCAAACATTTTATTTAGATAAAAAATATATTTTAAAGGAAATTTTAAAAATCACGATCTGACAGTGTCTCACTAAAGCGTAAATTATCTAAATATATTTACGTTTATACAAGTCTATAGCGAAATTATCTACGTAAATAATTTTCACGAAACCAATAATTAAATTTACACACAAGATAAAACTTGAATCAGCTTTTCGACTGCTTTTTCTTTGTATGTCCCTGACATCCTGCTTATTTCGATTCTCTTCCACTTCCTCATCGATAATTGATGCTTTTCATTTTAGATTCCGACTCTTACGAGGGCGCATGTAGAAATTTTTCAACAGTTCTTTGAGTGTCCTTTCCTAAAAAGTTAAAATATTCAGGGCCAGCGACTCTGTCTCAAAACCTTGCGTTTTGAAACCAACAAAAATTCTATTTAAAATTAATTCTGGAAAACAATAATTTATTTTGAATTATTCGAGCCTAAATATAGATCGATATTAAGAATAATGGTTCAGTCGTAACTACTTGAATTTCGAAGAGGTCACTAGATTCAATAAAAAAGCAAGCTTTTTGTTCAAATAATTTCACTATTAGACATAATTCACTAGTTTTAGTGGTCCGCTTGACCAATTAATATATTTCAATTAATTAAGATTTTTAGTTGAGATAAAATTGGCAAAAAGGAGGGAAAATTCAAAAGGTAGGGTTGAGATAGGAAGTTAGTGTCTGAGTGGATCAAAATCACTATAGCTCAAGTGGTAGAGCAGCGGCGTATTGAGCCGAAGATAGTGGGTTCGAATCCCGCTCGTGCCATTGACTTTTTTATCTCAACTAAAAACCTTAATTAATTGTAATATATTAATTGGTCAAGCGGACCACGAAATTAGTGAATTTAAAGATTTAAAATGAAGTATACTTCTCTAAAGCTCTCCGTGGCCATTTCATTTGTCGTCGAGAATCCAAACCGATTACACGACATTTGAAAAATGGCAAAAAGGAGGGAAAATCCAAAAGGTGGGGTTGAGATGGGAAGTTAGTGTTCAAATGGTAGAGCAGCGGTGTATCTAGGCGAAGATCGTGGGTTCGAATCCTGACTTTTTTATCTGAACTAAAAATCTTAATTAATTGAAATTAGGCATAATATGAAACTTATATTTTGAGATGGATCAACTTTCTTATTTTTGAGTTTCGAATCGAAGTTTCACCGTCCCAGATCGTAAACATTTTTAATTTATGAAAAAATATACTGAAACTATCTTATTTTCATAAATACTATAAAATTCAATATCAATAATATATTGAACTCAGTTTCCATTTATATCCAGAGTATTTTACATATTTTTATGGGTTTTCTTTCGTCTGATGACGTTTAAGTATTTTTATCGTTTTTGTTATCAATATCGCACACCTACAAAAAAAAGTGACAAGTCGAACAATTATAAAATCTCGAGTATTTAGTTTTTTAATGTATTCGGGTGTGTGTTGCTACAGGAAAAATAACAACTATTAGGTGGACTTTTAGCTACTAGGCAGCACCACGTGTCATTTTTCAATTGGCAATATCTCTAACCTGTACTGTAACCACTGGAACCATTCAGGAAAAGTGGCATATCTTAGTTCTGTGGTGATCTTTAAAGCATCGGTGTGTGGCACATTTTGGGTTACGTCAGTTTTTCATCTTTAGTGAAGGATTTTATGCTGTACCCGAGGCACTTGACAACTGAAGGTGTACTCTTAGCTACTAGGCAGCACCACGTGTCACTTTTCAATTGGCAATATCTCTAAGCTGTACTGTAACTACTGGAACCATTCACAAAAAGTGGCATATCTTAGTCGAGTTTAAAAGCATCAACAATTCACATTCTGAAAAACAATTTCAATTGTACAAATATGTTGTTCGTAATGTGAACTTAATATTGACGCCGATGATGACCTTGAAATAGGTCGAAAGTTTTGAGAAGAGGAAGAAAAATAATTGTATTCTGGGGCCGGTGACCCCTCAAAATAATATACATGAAATAAATAAAGGAAATTCTTTCTATGAAATTAAAAATAAAATGAAATAAAAATCTTGCCACAGTGTATGCAAGCAAGTCAAGCCATGAGAAAAAAAACAAGAATATTAAATAAAAATATCAAATATTAACGCAAAGTCTCTGTTTTGGAGGGAGGGGAGGTGATTGTACCAGTTGAATTACCACGACATTTCAACTTACCAAGAATCGAAGTCAGGATAGCTCAAGTGGTAGAGCAGCGGCGTATTTAGCCGAAGGTCGTTGGTTCGAATCACGCTCGTGTTACTTACTTTTTCATTTCACCCAATACCTTACATAAAGATTAGTTATTTGAAGAAAGTAATTAACATTAAATTTTATCAGCTTCTATTAAATATATAAATACTCAATTAATTATACACAATTTTTTCGAAATGAAAAATTTGTGTCACAGGCGGGATTCGAACCCACGACTTTCGGCTAAATACGCCGCTGCTCTACCACTTGAGCTACCGTGATTCCGATCGCCCATGACACAAACTTCTCATTTCGACTACCCGATTTTATTCTGCCGAAAGACGTGCGTTCGAATCCCGCCTGTGACAAAAAATTTTCATTTCGAAAAAACATTGTGTATAATTAATTGAGAAAGTAATTAACATTTAAGAAAAATAGTTAAACTTACAAGTCTCTTCTTTGATAAGGTTTTGTGTTTATGTTTTTTATAGATGTTTTATGAAATGAACTAGTTTAAATAAGTATTGGGTGAATCAATGCATATTTCGAACCATTTTTTATTTTAAGTTTTGAATAAAAAATATTAACTTATAAATTTCTCTATTTTTCCGTTATCGTTTGAAAAAAAAATCATTATTTCAATCTGAAATAGTATAATTATAATTATATTTATTCTCAAGGTAACAAAGTTAATATGTGTGTGTGTGGTTATGAGTGAATTTAGGTTGACGACAATCAGTTTTTATTTTTAGACAAAATCGCGCATTGTTTGTTTTTAAATCGTATTCTGCCCCCAGGTCTCATGAAATTGCGTGAGCTAGTCCGCTCTCCGGAAGACAGGGACGTCGAAGTGCATTTGAGGCAGGCGGACCCGAGCAATTACAGAGCGGTGCTCAAAGAGGTCAAAAGCAAGGAGATCCACAACCTCCTCGTCGACGCACGACCCGAAAATATCCGCTCATTTCTCAAAAAGGTAAAAAAGGATGAAACTCCATTGTGGTCTTCTATGACTAGGTGACTTTATATTTTGATTTGCTCAAGCGAATAAAAAAAATGGTACTATTAACAGATTAAAAAACAATCCAAAGATTGATTATTTAGAGATCGTGAGATGCGGTCTGGTGGGATGTAGGTTTAGAAAAACATTTTTTTTATTGTGCGACGTTTCGAGCTTTATTTAGATCATCTTCAGAGCCAGGGATTTACAAACGTTTATTACATTATACAATACATGTAAGATGTGAAAATGAATTTATACAATGATTTACACAAAGTAGAAATTTTAGGTTTAATCAAAGTATTTACGCCGTGTGGGAGTTTTAATGAGATATAAATTTTTTTTATGAATATATGTTTGATTTTTAAGGATTGGGGAAGAAAGTAAGTACGGAAATACATTTTTCTATGAGGAGTCGGTTTCTCTGAAATGAAAGAGACCGACAATGAGAAAAAAGGATAATGGTTTTTTTGTTCGTACTTAGTTATCTTTTCAGGATTATATTAGACGGGATTATTAACAAAAGGAAGGATAAATTGTTACTGATTTAGGCTATGTAATTTTTTTATGGCTTTATGTACTCAGCATATTAGCCAATGCCAGACAATAATGTTATGCGTATTCGTTTTGGGGGGAAGGGTAGCGTGAAAAAAAGGCCAGAGGCGACTGCGGGAATTGAACCCACGACCGCGGTGTCTACGAGCCGAGAGTCTCTCACGCTAACCACTCGGCTACCGTGGTCCGCTTGACCAATTAATATCTTACAATTAATTAAGGTTTTAAGTTGAGATAGAAAAGTCAATGGCACTAGCGGGATTCGAAAGAAAACGAGGGAAAATCCAAAAAGGTGTGGTTGAGATGATAAGTTAGTGTCCGTGTGGATAGAGCTCAAGTGGTAGAGCAGCGGAGTATCTAGCCGAAGATCGTGGGTCCGAATCCCGCTCGTGCCATTGACTTTTTTATCTCTACTAAAAACCTTAATTAATTGTACTACATTTCTATTTTGTATTCAACATTGTAATTATTCATAGTCATATCTTTTATGTATTTGTATAATTTAAACAATGTTTATAAAACCTAGCTACTGAAGATGATCTCAATAAAGTCCGAAACGTTGCCACGATAAAGGAAATGTTTTTTAAACCTACATCACACCAGACCACATCTCACGATCCCTAAATCATTACATAACGGTCACTAAATATTACACATTCCAAACATTATTGAAAATTTATGAATTTTTAGGTTATTCAGCTTCAAATGAATGACTACAAGTATCACTACCTCTTTACTAGTTTTGTAAGTTTTTTAAGTATTACTTAATCTGATATTTAGATATTTGACTTTATTTTGTGTTTTTTTTATTGTATGTAAGGATATAGAATCGTTTCATCTCGAGGATTTTAAATACAATTTTGTCAACATGACGGCCTTCAGGATGGTCGACGTGGAAGACATGGCGGTTCGGGAAGTCCTTAAAGACATGGAGAAATTCCAGCCGCACGGTCCGTCCATATTCAACAGGTCGAAAACAATCGAAGTAAGTACAAAAACGACTTAATTTAAAAAAAAACCTTACGCTATAATTTAAACCGAATCGTTTCAGTCGGAGCCTGCTCTTATGTACGACTCGGTCGTAGTCTTCGCCATAGGCCTGCAGACTTTGGAGCAGTCGCACCCTCTGTCGTTGGCGAACGTCTCCTGCGCCCTCGAAACCCCTTGGGACGGAGGACTCAGCCTGATTAATTATATAAACTCCGTAAGTTTGGATTAGCTATTAGCTCGAACGTTAATTTAAGTCGGGGGCGAAGAGCTAAATATCAGAGAAACTTCCTATCGTCCTAATTTCTCATGATCCACCAAATTCACATTACTCTAGGAAATTTGCTGAAAATAGCCTGCAAAAAAGTTTTACAAAATTTGTCTATAGAAATATTTTGAAGAACAATTCAAGCAAAGATAAAGAAAAGTCATGTAAGAAGAGAGGTAAAAAGAAACTGAAAATAGAAGAAACCTTTGAGGAAGAAAGAAAAAATTAATGTAGGGACACGAAAGAAGCATATTCATAGTTAGATGTCCGGAGAGGACAAGGAGACATTTCATAAAGAAAGAATGAACACATAACAACAACATGACAGGCAGAACTGAAAGAAATTGCAAAAAAGATACTCAGGAGCCTTCTTGCCAAATAAAAGAAAAATCCTGTCCATCTCAGGTTTGTTGATTGTCAGAAGTGATATGTTATGCGTTGTGCTTACATAATTTGCCGTGACATTTGGTACGAACAAATTCAATGGAATATAGCCTGGAGAGGTCGATGAGCTACGACGTGATCAGAGTTTAAGGATGGAATGGCAGTGCCAACAGTTAGGATAGTGGTTAGGGATGGAGAGGCATCATCAGTTTTGAAATGCCGGGAATCTTACTGAACCTACTTACAAACTGTAAGCCGGCCCCGATATTTCCCTGTCGGAGCATTAGTAAATTATTCACTATTTTTCGTGGTCAGCTTGACCAATTAATATCATTCAATTCATTAAGGTTTTAAGTTGAGATAAAAAAGTGTCACGAGCGAGATTCGAACCCATGACCTTCGGCCTGATACGCCGCAACTCTACCATTTGAGCTATTGTGACTTCGATCCCTTCGGGCAATCACTTCCCATCTTAAAAATGACAAAAAGGAGGGAAAATTCAAAAGGTGGGGTTGAGATGGGAAGTTAGAGTCGGAGTGGATCAAAGTCACGATAGCTCAAGTCGTAGAGCAGCGGCGGATCTAGCTCAAGGTCGTGGGTTCGAATCCAGTTCGTGACAGTGACTTTTTTATCTTAACTTAAAACCTTTCTTAATTAAGTAAATTATTAATTTTTTTAAAGGTTTTGACTTTTTCAGAAAAGGTCGATTAGTTCAATCATTACACAGATTCGCTACTCATAGGATATTTTTATATACATTTTTCGAAAAATCCAAATCAAACCATTGAAAAAAGTGTTAAACCCCCTTTCTAGAATGTTCAATTGAATTTTCGGTAAAAAATAACAAATCTTTTAAAAACTGCTAAATTTAAAATTTATAAAAAAACTAATGTTGCAACCTCATTAGATAATTTACTGTAGAGCTTGGCAAATTTCAAAACAACTTCTTTAATTTAATAAGCTTTCTAGCAGTATACTCTGTTATTGTTTATTTTTTTATTTTATTTTTAATTACATGCCATGCAAAATGCAGAATTTTATGCTAAGTGGGACAAAACTGGTGACGATGTGATAAAGGGGGAATTGGTTTAATGTAGCAAATCAACTTTGACCTTGGCAAAATTTATTTTCCAATTTTAAGTTAATAAAAAACCACAGAAAGAAAGAAAAATGAAACAAAAAACATAAAAAATGAGACAATAAACATAGCAAACATCTTTAGCGGAAAAAACTGACAAAAAAACCGAACCGAAGTTGTAAAAACAAACGTTAATCTAATCTAAAAATTCCAAAAAAACCAACCTAAATCCATAATCAAACAAACCAAAAAAAGAGACAATAAACACAGTGAACAACTATACAGAAAATTTTGATAAAATATATACGGACAAAAAAAACAGACGTTGTAAAAACAACTTTAACCTAGTAATAAAAAAAACTAAAGAAAACTAAAGACAAAAATCAAACAAAACACACAAAATGGGACAATAAACATCGCCTGATAATAAAAAAAAATCAAGCAAAACACAAAAATGAAACAATAAACATAGCAAAAAAACCATGACTGAAAAATTGGGCAAAATATCTGCAGACAAAAAACACACAGAAGTTGTAAAAACAAAGTCTCTCAGAAAGTTAAGCGGAGGTTTCACATCTCAATACCAAAATCAAACAAAACACAAAAATCGGAAAATATCTACAGACAAAAAAAAAACAGACGGAAATTGTAAAAACAAACATTAACCTAGTAAGAAAAAAAGTCAATACCAAAATCAAACAAAACACAAAAATGGGCAATAACCTTAGCAAACAAACTTTAGCAGAAAAATTTGACAGAATATTTTCCGAGCAAATAACCATAATTGTAGTTAGTGTAAAGTTGTAAAAACAAACTTTAACCTGATCAAAAAAACCCAAAAAAAACTCAATTCCATAATCAAACAAACCCGAAAAAGAGGCAATAAACACAGTAGTTGTTCATAGACATACATACTTATTTGACCAAATATATACAGACAAAAAAACACAGAAGTTGTAAAAAAAAACCTTAACCTAGTAATAAAAAATTAAATAACAAAATCAAACAAAACACAAAAATGGGACAATAAAAATAGCAAACAACCATAACTGAAAAATTAGGCAAAATATCTATAGACAAAAGAAAAAAATAGCAATCACACAGATGTTGTAAAAACTAACTTTTACCTAAAAAGTCTTAATTTCAAAATCAAACAAAACACAAAAATGGGACAATGACCTCGGTCAAAAAATCTACAGACAAAAGAAAACGAAAACAACCACACAGAAGTTGTAAAAACCAACTTTAGTCTAATAAAAGAACACAAGCAAAACTCAGTACCAAAATCAAACAAATCACAAAATAAGAGGCATTAACCATAGCAAACAACCATAACTGAAAAATTGGACAAAAATCTACAGACAAAAGAAAACGAACACAACCACACAGAAGTTGTAAAACACCAACTTTAACCTAATAAAAAACCCAAACAAAATTCAATATCAAAATCAAATAAAACATAAAAATGGGACAACAAACATAGCAAAAACCATAACTGAAAAATTGGGCAAAATATCTACAGCCAAACGAAAAAATAAACCCACACAGGCGTTGGAAAAACCAAATTTAACCTACTAAAAAAAAGAAAAAAATCTCAATACCAAAATCAAACCAATCACACAAAAGAGGCAATAACCATAGCAAACAACCATAACTGAAAAATTAGGCAAAATATCTACAGACAAGAGAAAAAATAACCATCACTCAGATGTAAAAACAAACTTTTACCTAAAAAATCGTTATTTCAAAATCAAACCAAAAAGAGACAATGACCATAGCAGAAAAAATGGACAAAAATTCTACAGACAAAAGAAAACGAAAACAACCACACAGAAGTTGTAAAACACCAACTTTAACCTAATAAAAGAACACAAAGAAAACTCAATAGCAAAATCAAACAAATCACTAAAAAAGAAGCAATAACCATGGTAAGCAACGATAACTGAAAAATAGGGCAAAATATCTACAGCCAAACGCAAAAAAAACCACACATGCGTTGGAAAAATCAAATTTACCCTAAGAAAAAAAAGAAAAAAAATCTCAATACCAAAATCAAACCAATCACACAAAAGAGGCAATAACCATAAAATTGGGCAAAATATCTACAGACAAAAGAAAACGAAAACAACCACACTGAAGTTGTAAAAACTTTAACCCAATAAAAGAACACAAACAAAACTCAATACCAAAATCAAACAAATCACAAAAAAGAGGCAATAACCATAGCAAACAACCGTAACTTAAAAATTGGGCAAAATATCTACAGACAAAAGAAAACGAAAACAACCACACCGAAGTTGTAAAAACTTTAACCCAATAAAAGAACACAAACAAAACTCAATACCAAAATCAAACAAATCACAAAAAAGTGGCGATATACCAACCAAACTAAATATTTTGAGGCACACGACGAAATTTATCGCACGAGTGGCGAATCAGGTATGAACATGAAAATCCTAATGTAAACGCATGTCCCTCGTGTATTTCGTCTAAAACGTCGAATTCATTTTCGTCTAAAATTGGCAGGCTTGGATATTTCCGGGCGTGTGTGCGAAGTTGAAAATAATTTTATTGGCGGGTGACGAAAAGGAGAGAAAGGCGGCCTTTATATGAAGCATTGGCAATTCGACGGTTTAGCGTGTCTGAAAAGAGGGCCTAAATGAAAAACGGCCAGTATGAATAGAGTGTAAAGGCAAATCCCATCTGCTCGGCAAAGGCCGGAAATTAAATAAACAGAACGAAATATATATCTCGGAGCGATCGTGAGGCTCGGGAGCGTGGGACGATTGGCCAACCTTCAGGAAAAATTCCCAAAATTGTTTACTGTCTCTTCAATCGAACGAACGGGAGAAGCTTCAAATTAGGAGGTCCCACACTAAACATATTTTTCGATATTTAACGAAGACATCGACTTCATAAAGTCTGGAATTTAAGAGAAATCCAAGACCACGTTCCACACTTTCAATATTTTCACATTTTGATTACACCATGTATCATTTAAAGGAAATGAAATCCCCTGGGTGAAAATCCTCTGAACATACTACTGACATAACATAATAGAAATGTAAATAAATAATAACGTCATCGTTCACCTGGGACACACAATTCGGACCCGACCTGAGGAGTGATGATAGCAAGAAGTTGGCAGGTATTAATCGGAGGATTAAACGAGCCATTTACCCGCTCAGACGCGCAGTCGGATTATGGGTTAATTAAAGCGATCCGTCAAGACAAAAGCTGTGTGATCTGCCATTTTAGTTGCAATTTTGAACCCGTCCGGAGCAACCTCGGGGAATACGACTATCCGTCTGTAGATTGAATGTCATTTTATTGTATACCAAAATTAAATATTGTAATAAGGATTATCTCATTTTTATGGTACATCTATCTGTTTTGAGTTTAAAAAACCATAGCCAAATAAGATGTGTGAAGTGTCCTAGTGGGTCGAAGTCACGATACCTCAAGTGGTAGACCAGCTGCGTATTGAGCCGAAGTTCGTGGGTTCGAATCCCGCTCGTGACACTGACTTTTTTATCTCAACTAAAAACCTTAATTAATTAAAAGGTAGTTAAAAAAGTCCTCTTAATATTTCAATTTTATACAGTTTTTTGTCAGTCTTTTAATTTTATTTTCATTAAAAAAAATCGAAATATTAGTGAAGTAAAAACCGGTCGATATTCCCTATCTACCTAATTATTTTTGCTGACCATTCTAATCTATCTATTTATTTATTTATCTTCTATCCATCTATCAGTCTATCTACCGATCTCTCTCTCTCTCTCTCTCTCTCTCTCTCTCTCTCTCTCTCTCTCTTTCTCCCTTTCGCCAAGTCAGTTCCCAAAAAGAATAATATTATTGAAGCGTCTCAAGAGGGAAAAGACTAGTCAAGTTCAAAGTTAACAACTTACCCACCTACTTTAGTCACTTCGGTTGCTAATTTACTATGTACTTAAACAATATATATANATACAATCTATAAAAAAAATCGACCACCTGGTTTTTGCATGAAAAATGGCCAACGTTGGAAATGCATATTTTCTCAGCCATTTAAGTCACATACCTGCTGCATTAGGTTTCATTTTTTTTAGGAAATTTTACGCTGAACAAGTTTTTTTAAAAAATGTTTTTCTAACTTCGGTCATTATCAGTAAATTCAAAAATTCTGGAACGTTTTAATTTTTGCACTTTTAACGAGAGCTTCAAATTGACTTGTGGAGCAAGGAAATCGTTTTGAAGTGAAGCCCTTTAGCAATCGATAGCAAATTTTAATAAACTTTCAATTGGTCACCTTGCACTTTGCACGGTTAAATTTTTGAACTTTTTTACGAAAACTTCAAATTGAACTCGGAACTAGAAAATCTTCTTGAAGTAAAGCCCTTTAGCAACGTTCCACTTTGCCCGATTTCTTAACAGTTTTTGAGTTATTCAGGATTTTTGGTCAAAAACGTGTTTTTTACGTGCTCATGGAAAAAAAGATCTCTCTCTCTCTCTCTCACTCTCTTTCTCTTTCTCTTTCTCCCTCTCTTTCTCTCTTTCTCTCCCAATTTTTCTCCATATTTTCTCTCTCCCTTTCTCTTTCTCAGTTTTTCTCTCTCTTTCTCTTCCTATCCCTCACTCTCTCCCTTTCTCTTTCTCAGTTGTTCTCTCTCTTTCTCTCTCTCACTCTCTCTCTTTCTCTTTCTCTCTCTTTCTCTTTTACTCTTCATCTTTCTCAGTTTTTCTGTCTTTCTTTCTTTCTCTCTCCCTTTTTCTTTCTCTCTTTCTCAGGTTTTCTGTCTCTCTTTCTCTCTCTTTCTCTCTCTTTCTCTCTCTTTCTCTCTCTTTCTCTCTCTCTCTCTCTCACTCCCATCTCTCTCCCTCCCTCTCTCATGATTTTCAAGACTGCATAATCTTGAACCTTCATGTTTTCGCAAATTTTACACTACAAATTTTGTTCCGGGGATTTTTTTCAGAAAAGTGACCAGGGAAGCAACAATTCTCACTTTTTCTTACTTTCTCCTTCTGGGATGCGGAATGCTTCTTCTGATGATAATCCCTTGTTCACCTAATTACAGAAATACAGTTTTTCCTTCCCATTTCACAGGAGTTCTGTGGCAGTTTGGCTTCGAATAAAGTACTAAAACAAAGGTTTATATATGGTACAATGGGGAGAGGGAGAGTATGTGTGATTGGTTTTTTCCATGAACACGTAAAAATGATTTTTTTCCAAAAATCCTGAATATCTCGAAAACGGTTAAGAAATCAGGCAAATTGGGAAGGTGACCAATTGAAATCTTATTAAAACTTCCTATCTTGCTGTTATAGAGCGCCCCACCAGGACGATTTCCTGGCTCCCAGCTCAATTTGATCTTTTCGTAAAAAAGTGCAAAAATCAACGTGTTCCGAATTTTTGAATTTACTGGGGAATGACGGAAGCTAGGAAATCATTAAAAAAAAAACTTTTTCAGCGTACATTTTCCTAAAAAATGTGACCTAGTGCAGATCTGTGACAGAAATTATGCATTGCCACAGTTGGCAATTTTTTCATACAAAAACCAGATTATCTAGATATAGATATATAGATATCTCTCAAGATTTGGTCTCGCGGACCACTCTTACATCCTAAAGAGAGAGAGAGTGTGAGAGAGAGCAATGGTGGATCCTTCTTCTTTACTAGTTTCTATATGCATATTGGACGAAGTATCAATTATAGATTATTGTAGTTCTTTTTAGTGTTATTATAGATCAACACATCTATTAACGATATTAAATTATACCAATTCAAACCGTTAAGACAGCATGAAGTACATGGTGTCCTACTCTGCAGTTATAATTTTCTAAATCAAGATTTTCTTCCCATAAATCTACGAGCGATGTGCGCATAATTCAGAGTTAAAATCATAATTATTATTTGGAGGCAGTGAAATGCGGTCTGGTGTGACGTAGTTTTTAGGAAAACATTTTCTTTATCGTGCCAACGTTTCGATCTTTATTGAGATCATCTTCAGGCTCAAAGAGTTTATTTTCTGTGTAACACTTTGAGCCCTGAAGATGATCTCAATAAAGCTCGAAACGTTGGCACGATAACGAAAATGTTTTTCTACATCTACGTCACGCCAAACCGCATCTCACGACCTCCAAATAATCATTAACTAACTGTCACTAAACACCACACGTTAAAATCTTAATTAAAAAATAATTATTATTTCTGCCGAATCCTGATTCATTATAAAATTCTATTTATATATCCTAATTTTATCAAAAAGTAACCAACCACGAATTCAATATCGACTGTAGACTTCCTGTTAGGTAAAGTCAATCTATTTGAGTTCATGACCACTTACACTAATCATCTGTCACTTATTGATCGGTATGACATGACAAACTCGGTCAAAAGGTTTGGTCAAATGCGGCAATTTCCCAACTAAATCGTCACTCCACAAAAATTTCCAGAAACCCAATTTGGGACTAGGAAAGTGATGCAATTTTTTTTTTAATAGTGTCAAACGATCACGCATTTTGTGACTTTGAAAGCCAATGCCTACGAAATTTCTTTCTAGACATCAGTTTGTCCTTTAACAAACGAATAGGGAAATTTGTTTTGAAAACCTAATTTTTATCAGTCTTCTACATATTTTCCTACTTGTAAATGAGGCCTTTGGCGTGTTAATAAATAAATGTTAAAAAATAAAAAAATGAATAGTTGAACATAGTTTAGAGATGAAATGGCAAAAATGAGAATATTCGAACGGTTGTACGTAGAGAGGGAGAGTTGGTGTCCGAGAGGATCGAAGTCATGATAGCTCGAGTGCGAGAGCAGCGGCGTATCTAGCCGAAGATCGAGGGTTCGAATCCCGCTCGTGCACTGACTTTTTATCTCAACTAAAAACCTTAATTAATTTATAGATATTAATTGATCAAGCGGACCACGAAAACTAGTGAATTTAATTAGTTGAAATGAAGTAAATCTTCACGAAAGCTCTCTGCGGCCATTTTATTTGTCGCCGAGAATCAAATAGATTTCACGACATTTCAAAAATGGCAAAAAGGAGGGAAAATTCAAGGGTGGAGTTGAGATGGAAAGTTAGTGTCCGAGTGGATCGAGGTCACGATAGCTCGAGTGGTAGAGCAGCCGCGTATTTAGCCGAAGGTCGTGGGTTCGGATCCCACTCTTGACACTAACTTTTTTATCTCAACCAAGACCTCACACAGAAAAAATCATCAGTTCAAAGAAGTAACTTGATCAATTGGCCACTAAAACGTAAATGGATTTATATTTTATAAGTAAAAGAACTACCACTTCACTGTACAGCTCCCCGTAGCCACTTCATAAGTCGCTGAGAATCCAATCCTGATTTCAAGGCATGTGAAAATGGCAAAAACGAGGGAAAATTCGAAGGTTGTAGGTTGAGATGAAAGGTTGGTCCGAGAGGATCGACCTCACGATAGCTCAAGTGGTAGAGCAGCGGCGTATCTAGCCGAAGGTCGTGGGTTCGAATCCCGCTCCGGTCACTGACTTTTTTATCTCATCGAAGACCTTACATAGAAAGAATTATAGATTTTAGTAAATAATAAATCAATGTTTTTATTATTACCTCGAGTTTTATTGCTGTAACTAATTGAAAATGTTTCGTATTTATTGAAAATTCAAGTAATTTTTTATTGTTTTTTTTTTCTTCGAAGGGGGTAACCACTGGGGTCAATATCGGACAAATACATGACAGAGTTGTTTGTTTCTTTTATGTTTCAGGTGGACGTAAAAGGTTTAAGCGGTCCTATAGAATTCAAAGAGGGCAGAAGGATCCAGTTCAAACTCGATTTAGTCAAGTTGAAGCAACATTCTGTCGTCAAAGTTGGTGAATGGAGTCCCAACATGGGTCTCAACATTTCAGACTCGGCAGCTTTTTTCGACACCGCTTCCATGAACGTTACCCTCGTCGTTATTACAATACTGGTACAAAAATAGTATCATAAAATATGTTTTTTGATGTTTTAACTTGTTTTTAAATAAGATTGGTCTAAGAAAAGAAATTTGAGCTTTGATTAGTGCTTTATTAGGAATGGCCTTTTGTGATGATGCATAAAGGAAGGAACAGGACTGGCAACGAAAGGTTCTACGGTTTTTGCATCGACGTCCTTAAGATAATTGCCAAGGAGGTGGGCTTCGATTACATAATCGAGCTCGTCCCAGATCGAAAATACGGCGCGATCCACCCGATTACGAAAGAGTGGAACGGGATCGTCGGCCACCTCATGAAACACGTGAGTCGAGAATCCATGATTACACGATGATCTGTTCGCAGGAGACGCCCTACGTCATGATCCAGGAGGGCAAAAACGCGACCGCACCCGGGAACGGGCGGTTCGTCGGCTTTTGCATCGACCTGCTCCACCTCGTCTCGGAAATGGCGGGTTTCCAGTACAGCATCGAGCTGGTCCCGGACGGCAAGTACGGCGTCTACGATCCCGATACGGGAGAGTGGAACGGCATGGTGAGACAGCTCATGGACAAGGTAAGGCGAGGGAAAAATCTCTGCATGGGGAAGATGCATGACTTTCAGCATGATGCTATGTGAGTACCCGCTCCTCATTTTACTGCTTTAAGTATTTTATACAAAGTACTACTCCCCCACACAAAAATACATCATAATAAATAATTAAACCATAAAATGATATGTGAAGATGAAGAGCGTGGGTTCTAAGACGAATCATGTTCGGTTCTTTATGATATGCTAATTTTCTTTAATGTTCTCATGACAGACTGGTCATGACATTGCACCAAATTATTTTAAAATAAGACAAAATATATCGTTACACATGCTCATCGTAGATGACAGTCCAGTTAAGAAATTTACCAGCATGTAAGTTTATCAGCACATCCATGAATCTCTTCCATGTTCATTGATCAGGATTTAGACTCAATAGTCTCAATTTTTTATGTATCCTTTTTGCAAATTGCTAAGCCCCAGAAGATTTAAAGACCAGACAAACCTCATCGAATTGGTTAATTTTTAGATGCTTCATATTTATCCGCTTTTCTGTTGATGCAATAAACTGGTCACTACTATCATCAGTGATTTTATAATGTCCGTGTCTTAACCTTCTATAAAACGAAGTCTAGACGTGAAATAATTGATCTTTTGCAATAATGCCCCTACCATCTTTACTCAGCTGAGTCGACACAGACTGAGGATCTTTATCTGAAGTTAGTACCACAAATATTTTATATGGATGGAATTCCAACATCCCCTGGCAAGCAAGTGGTGCAATGGAAGCCAGTTAAGAACTCAGAAACAGCACACACCCACATGTTCCTTTATAAAGGCAGTTGGCTTCCAAAATCCCCTGGCAAGCGAGGTGGTGCAATGCAAGACAGTTCAGATCTGCACTAGAAAGAGCACATACATACATGAGCCTTTATACAGGCAGTTTTGTGGCTTTCAACATCCCCGGAGAAACAGAAAAAGGCACTATCCGGTGTCGTCGGCTGGTATCACAACTATTACAATTTGTTCTCAAACAACGACCACCACTAGTCCTGGGATTACACCTCAACTGGAGACTACTTAGACTCGCCTCCTCCCGTGGTTCAGTTTTATCAGTAAGTCACTTTCGTTTTAGTGCTCATTTGACCAAGTTACATCTTTTAATTAATTATTCTTTCCATGAAAGGTCTTGGTTGTGCTAAAAAAGTCAGTGTCACAACGTACGACCTTTGGCTAAATACGCCACTGCTCAACCATTTGAGCTCTGGTGACTTCGATCCTCTCGGACAAGAACTCTCCATCTCAACCTAAAACCTTCTCTCTTTTTGCCATTTTCAAATCATTAAGGTTTATTTTATCATTACGGTGAGACTGATGACCAACCCGGAACTTTCCTAGCATCCCTGTACTGTTTACACCCGTTGACTGAGGTGTAGGTACAATAACCCAGGGAGTAAGGGGATAGAAATCTTTAGGGGAAAGAAAGGGTTAGAAAGGAAGACAATCCCATAATTCAATGGCGATAATTCGAAACATTTACTAAAATTTACAATTTACATTTGGAATTATGAGTATGATTTTAGCTTTTTTTTGTTTTGTAAGTCTTCAAACAGTTCGGTTAATTCCATGTAAGGTTTGGTTGTGATAAAAAAGTTAGTGACGGGAGCGGGATTTGAACCCACGACCTTTAGCTAAATACGCCGCTGCTCTAACCACTTCAGCTATCGTGACTTCGATCCACTCGGACATTAAATTCCCATCGCAACCCCACCTTTTGAATTTTGAAATGAATTGATGAATGAAATTGAAAAATGGCAAAAAGGAGGGGAAATTCAAAAGGTGGCGTTGTGAGAGGATAGAATCTTTATTGGAGGATTGGATAGCAGAACCATCAGCAAACGAGTGAGTAGCACTAGGACAGGATAGAAGTATACGTTGAATAAAGAATCGAACCCAGGATACAACCCTGCGGGACTTCGGCCATAACAGGATAGTCGTCAGAGCAACGTGTAGGGATGTGAGGAAGTAGGTGAAGGGAACGAGCTCAGTTAGATTTTTTTTTTAGTTGTACCATTTTTAAGTTTCAAAATGGTGAAGGTTTTACTACTAATATAGATTGGGCTAGAAACGGCATTGTTGGAAGATGGAAGAAATTTATTTTTTTACCCTTCAATTAATTAGGTTTTTAGTTGAGATAAAAATGTCAGTGTCACGAGCGGGATTCGAACCAACGACCTTCGGCTTGATACGCCTCTACTCTACCAAGTGAGCTCTCGTGATTTCGACCCACTCGGACACTAACTTCCCATCTCAACCCCACCTTTTGAATTTTCCCTCCTTATTGCCACTTTTCAAATGTCGTGTAATCTATTTAATACCCGGCGACAAATGAAATGGCCACGGAGAGATTTAGTGAAGATATACTGCTCTACCACTTGAACTATCGTGACCTCGATCCACTCCGATACCTTTAGTGAAGGTATACTTCATTTTGACTTATTAAATTCCCTCGGTTTCGTGGTCCGCTTGGTGGCTTGACCAATCTTTCAATCAATTAAGGTTTTTAGTTGAGATAAAATGGCAAAAAGGAGGGAAAATTCAAAAGGTGGGGTTGAGATGGGGAGTTGGTGTCCGAGTGGATCGAAGTCACGATAGCTCAAGTGGTCGAGGAGCGGCGTATCTAGGGTTCGAATCCCGCTCGTGACACTGACTTTTTTATCACAACCAAGACGTTACATGGAAAAAACTGAACTGTTTGAAGACTTACAAAAAAATAAAAAAATAAAAAAAATGCTAAAATCATACTCATAATTCCAAGTGTAAATTGTAAATTTTAGTAAGTTTTTCGAATATCGGTGTGCGAGTGCCTTGGGATGATGGGATGATGGGAAGAAGCGGCGTATTTCGCCAAAGGTCGTGCGTTCGAATCCTATTCCTGACACTGACTTTTTTATCTCAACCAATACCTCCCAAAAAGATTAATTGATTGAAAAAGACTGTTTGGTCAATCGGACCCCAAAATCTAAAGAATAATTAAAAACACTACTGGATTACTTCCTTTAGGTACAATGTTGTCTTTTTAAATTTTACATTATTTTATACTTTCAACGGTGTTTTAATTACACGTTGTTTAATAATCAATAAAACTTTTAGTTAAATAATTAATTAGCCCTGACTCTAGAAAGAAAGCACATGAGTTTGTGTCAAAAATAATCTTAGTAAATCTTACTACATGGATAGCTAGTTTGTTAGGTTTGTATGTTGCCTATTGCCTATTGACCATCGTTATCGTAAGGGCAAATAAATTAACATCAATTACTGAGAGCCAATATTTGCAAGAAAAGTATCACAACCCAAGAGGGTTGTTTTTTAGAGGTAGTACAGCTGGATTTTAAAATTTTGTGTTATCGCGTTAGACTTGGACATGCGAAAGACAATTGTGATGAATCATGGCAGATTTTTGTTGCCAATAACCGTAATTGCGAGTAGATGTAGATGTAATTTTTTCAGGGTATGGTATACTGCGCCCTTTGAGAGCTATTGTATCCCCCGTTCTCTGCCTAACGCACATCGGTGAGTCCTATTTCATCAAGAAACTTGATTAATAGGCCCGGTTTTAATGGTTGATGCTCTTCTATGGTCACATTGTACATCCCAAAACATTTCCTCCTGCGGGCTAATGTAGCTCCGCAGTTTGTTAGTAAATGTGTTGGTGTCTCTTCTGCCTCCTTGCAGAATCTACATGTGCCATCTTGGATTGTTCCAATTTTCTTTAGGTGTCCATTTAATCTACAGTGTCCTGTTAGGAGTCCTGTTAGGATTCGCAGTCTGTTCCTGCTTCCTATGACATATTCTGTAATTTCTTTCTTGCCAAAATTGGTTAGAAGATTCTTGGATTGTCTATGTCCAATGAATGAATTCCATTGTTCCTTCATTTTCTTTTTGTCCTTCTGTCTGAGATATTCGTTACGAGTGTGGATTCCTATGCCACAGAAGGGTTCGGGTCCTGTCAGCGGTGTGGCAGCCCCTTTCCTTGCAAGGGTGTCCGCTTTCTCATTGCCTTCTACTCCCATGTGTCCTGGGACCCAGCAGAGGCTGACTTTATACTGCATACCTAGTGTGTTTAATTTGTTTTTGCAGTTCAACACCATCCTTGAACTAATGATACGTGAGCTTAGTATTTTGATGGCTGCTTGACTATCTAACATGATAGCTATATTCTTGTTTTTGTATCCTTTACTTAGATTGAATTGGATACATTTTTCAATTGCGTGAATCTCAGCTTGGAAGATAGTGGTGTGTTTTCCCATGAGTTCTGAGTATTTGGTTCCGGGTCCAAAAACTCCTGTCCCCGTACCTTCTTGTGTTCTAGATCCATCTGTGTACCAAAGGATGGTGCCATTTTTAAAGGGGTTATTTCCCGTTCCTTCCCATTCCTTTTTGGTGTCCAAATGTATTCGGAATTTTTGGTTAAATTCAAACATCCTGTTCATGTCGTCTCTTGGAACCATGAGTGATGGATGGTCTTTCCACAGTTTGTTTCTGTCTCTCCATTTCAGTTTTATTCCTATTGGATGTTTCTCTTTGATAAAGTTGATTATGGTTTTCTGTGCTGTCCGTTCTATCATGTGATGTAGGGGGATTAGTCCTAATATCTTTTCCATACTAATTGTAGGACATGTTCCCATAGCTCCCGTTATGCAGATGCATGCGAGTCTCTGTATTTTTGTGAGTTCTTTTCTTTTGGTTATTTGTTCTGCTTTATCAGCCCAGGCT